ATATTGGTCGCTACTGTATTTTTCAAGTGTTTTGTATATCAGTTATAAAGTCTACTCACGTATCAAATATTGATGAGCCAAGACCTGTAGTTTTCGTATTCTCAGTGTATCTTTTAACATTAAAACTATTTCTTGGGGAAACAGGCAAAACCTGCCATAAGGAAAAATATTATACAATAACTGTGTGTGTTAAATAAATATTATTTTAATTTTATCTTTTGGATTTAATGTTTGTTCCCWAACCAATGGTCTCTTTTCTACTTAATGTAATTGTTCAGAATTCTGAAAGAAGGATCATTCCAGCATAAAAATACACTAGAAATACAAACTGAAATGTGGAGAAATTGTACTATACAAATATGATAAAAAGGTAAATTATACACMGTGAAAAGATGAAAAAACTTACTGATGTTTCGGACGCTTAAGTCCTTCGTCGGAGTAAAAGAGAGGAAGAGATGAAGGACTAGTGTCCAAAATGTCAAAACGTTTTTTCATCTTTTCACGGTGTATAATTTACCTTTTTATCATTACTGTTTCATTARAAACACTGACGCAGCTCACACTAGTTTTTAGCTAGTTATATCTTCTTATTCAAATATGGATGAACCTATTCAAAYAGGGATGAACACTGACCTTGACGACTGCCATCCCTTTGTAGTAGGGCTATGAACCTAATGAGAGAGAAAACAGAAAACTAACTATCCAGTACTACATATGTATTCTAAAAATATTATCAATTATTAATCTATTGATAATAGTGAGACTAAAATCGACGGGTTCCAAGCATTCCCAAGAGTCAAAAGACAAAAACGTAATTGGTCATCTTGGTGCAGTTAACAATGCATGGATGCTAATGAGAAATCTTTTGTTAATTAAAGTGCAATTACTGTAAATGGGGACACTAGCAGACCATTTCGACAAGAGAACCAATGAAAATATAGAATGAAAACAATGCGTTCCATCTTCAGGCATTTGAGCCAATCAGAAACCTAGACTGTACAGAATGGTAATCGACTAGATAGTCATTGTCATTTTCTCTTGAAACAAAAAGATACATTGAAGGCTATTGTTTTCTGCTGCTTTCTGATTGGCTACATTATGTATTGCTTTCCTTCTTCAATTCGATTGGTTCTCGCTGTCTATGTGGCCCCGGTCATAGTAGTTACATTGTAAATGCCACAAACATGGCCACGATAGTGTAAAATGCAATCGAAAGAATKGTTCTTGATTGTATACATGTATATATACCTCTAGTTCTTTAGCGCTGTGCCCTTCATCTGCACCAGAGCAGTGCACAACTTGAAATGGGACTTTCTTTGGCATCAATGACTATAGATTCTGAAATACCTACAAAAATGAAGAATGTGTAGTTCAAAAATTATCAATACCCCCCTCACGGAGGAATTTTTTTAAGATACCCCCTACCCCCCTGGAAATTCCAATTTTCTTCCATACAAACTCTGTAATTTTTGTTCTTTCTCTGACCCCCCTACTCTTCGGAAATTCCAAATTCCTCTGTGGGGTGGGCATGGATGATTTCTGGAACTACACAATTATAGCATGTTCACACAAGGTATCTTTAAATAAGAAGATATATTCTTAAAATTTGTTAACAATGATGAAGTCCACATTAATTTCCTGTTCTTTTATTCTTTTGTGAATGAATTCTTAACAGAAAATTCAGTCTCATTAGTATTGTTATCATGCACACCTGAACAGATGTTACAAGATGTTTATCAACAAGATCGTGATTRATATATTTATATACAATCATTTAGTAAGGTTTTTCAGGGGATGTGGGGGAGTTTAAGCTTATCAATATCTGATTCAGGGCAGGACTAGCTCACAGATCTACACATAGATTGATCGCTGAAACAACCTCTGGGCTGGTCTAAGTCAGGGCATGGCTAACTCATAGGTCAAAGCCTAAAAAACATCTGGACTGATCTAAGTCAGGGCATGGCTAACTCAGATCAAACTCTGAAAAAACCTCTGGGCTGATCTAAGTCAGGGCACGGCTAACTCACAGATCGAACCCTGAAACAACCTCTGGGGTGATCTAAGTCAGGGCATGGCTAACTCACAGATCGAACTCTGAAAAAATCTCTGGGCTGATTTAAGTCAGGGCATGGCTTACTCACAGATCGAACCCTGAAACAACCTCTAGGCTGATCAAAGTCAGGGCATGGCTAACTCATCACAGATAGAACCCTGAAACAGCCTCCAATTGATTATATAAGTTTGCTAACAAAATGAAACTACTGTTAGTACCATTCTAAAAAATGTATCATATTTACATGATATTTAAATATGTCTTGCAAAAATCAATAGTAAAAATATCTCTTGAACAAGATTTGTACTGAAGTTACATTCTGGCGCATTGAAAATAAACCTTTGGACGAAAACCAAAATAAGCTAACATCGCTTTTTAGATTTCGAATTTAAGAAATAGTTTCAGGATGARGCTTAATTATCTTATGCCCTGAGTAATACAAAATACCAAGCACGAACATTATACGTATATAATTARAAATACCGTTAAAAAACAAGAAAATTAGTGAATAAATCTTTGCACAGTCAAAACAAATAACAGTTTGTTCRGTTTACATTGACAACGAACGTCTAACATTGTACAAGAAAAACAAGCAATACTCTAAAACTTAATGACTAAAACAACAGAAAAGAAGCAAATATCACAGTAAAATACATTATAGGAAGTATATACAGAAAGTCTAAAAGCAGAAGTAAGATTTTTAAGGGAATAAATCRAGTTTAAAATACCTCATAAATATACGTGAAAACACTCTCAGCGACCCTTCAAAATTTTGGCGCGAATTGGTTGAAAGATTAGGCTTTTTTCCAGCTTTTCAGCATCAAAGGATGACGAATTGGAGCTTGAGTCCTTACATATTCTTCTGTATTAGGCTGAAGAAAGTATATTTTTTTCAAAGAGTGAAAACAGAGGATTAATTCTCTTTGATTTTGTATTCAAAGATAAGGGAAGGTGAGTGTGAGCCTTGAGTTATTTGTCAGCGGGGTTAAAGTTTGGTATGTGGGAGGGGAGGGTGGGGAAGGTACGGCCGAATCCAAAGGATACTCCTAGTTCAGTTATAAGGGATACTCCTAGTTCAGGTATAAGGGATATTCCTAGTTCAGGTATAAGGGATACTCCTAGTTCAGGTATAAGGGATATTCCTAGTTCAGGTATAAGGGATATTCCTAGTTCAGGTATAAGGGATACTCCTAGTTCAGGTATAAGGGATACTCCTAGTTCAGGTATAAGGGATACTCCTAGTTCAGGTATAAGGGATACTCCTAGTTCCTTTTTTCAATTATTCCCACGAGAATGAAATAACCAAAGACACAGTGGCCATGTTTGATGATAAAACAAAATAATTAATGGACAATTCTTTTTTTAAAGTGGCAAAGACGTCACGTGCAAACCAAGACTACGAGCCGATTCATCAGTCATGGTACTTAGAAAAATTGCTAGTGATATTACAGATTAAACGCCCGGCAGTTCGACGAGTCTTCAACGTAGTAAAACGGATTTTAAACGATAAAAAGTTAGGGGGGAAAAATTGCAAAATTTTTTTAGTAGGCATAAGTTTCAGGGTCACCCATCCAGGTACTTACTTTGCTAACCGGACTTGACTCAGTATTATTGAAACCCAAGTTTTTTCCCACTGGACCACGGTTCCAGGTGAATCAGCATAACAATAGCCGTGAAAACAATGCACCAGATAG